TAATGCAGAAAAAGAACGCAGACTGGTGGCAAAGAAGACCATTAGGGGATAAGAGTATAAAATTAGATGGAAAGTAAGACTGGTGTATCACAGCGGTCCTAAATCAACATGCCATCTCAGCAACCACAAAAGTCAGCAACTGAGTGGAGGTGAATGAAAGGCAAGGGTCAAAACAACAGCCATAATTTATCTGACTGCCAGAGAAGCATTTTTACACTTAGTACACAATGAATTGATTTACATTTGATAGACAGTAGTTACACAAAAAAGAGACTTCAGCCCTCACAGAATAGCCTGCAGCACAATACAAATTCCTTTCGTGATAATCCTAGGGGGAAAAAAACAATCTCTTTTTATTCAAAAGAATTTTTGCTTAAATATTTGAGTCTATTGGGAACAGACTGAAAGATACATACCGTACTCCACACWCACGTCTACAGAGCTTTGTGGTTATGGTTCCCTATGCTCTTTGACAGCGTGAGGGGCACTCTTAGCAACCTGGGTGGAGAGACATTTAGTGGGAGCTTCAGCTGTTGCTTTCCTTCCTCTTTGGAGGGGCTCCTCATTGTGAAGTGCTCACTTGGGTAGCAAGGGGCAGAACAGGCTGTGAGAAGACGGGGCTTCCCATTCGGGAGTCAAAGGACTGCWTTTGGTGGCAAAAGGAAACTTACTTCCTTTTCTGCGGATTTTACTTTGCCTCTTTAAAACTAAATGCAAATATTATTCCTTGATGAAAAGACCCTGCTGACTAGTCCTGTGTTTTTCTGCCGAGTCACKGCAGTAATTATAAATGTTCCTTTTAGCAATCCTGAAGATTTTTACAGCTGGTAAACCCTGCATCCCGAGGATGGGTGAGGAATTCTGAACAGTTTCACAGTTTCATAAACAAAGCTAAGGGGTTCTTGGTTTGAAGCTTTCCCCTTCACAGCGCACTGTGCAACACTCCAGCAGTCGCCTGACTCATGGCAACCTGCAATTGGAAATGACTTGGGGGTGAGGGAAGGAAAGAAGAGGACAGGGAGAATATATAACATATACTGGCCAGTATATTTTAACTACCTATGTGAAAGTCTGAAGCGCATTAGCCGTGACCTCATGGAATTGCTGCAGACATCAGCTCTGCGTCTGGTCCAGATCAAAATATGTATTTGTGAATTAGATTAACATAACCAKTGATTAAAATAATATATTAAATTAGTTAACTCACTTCTGTTTTGATAATCTTAGATGTTAATAGGAACACACTGACAGAGCCATTTTTTTTTCAGTCTTCTATTTATTTTTGGAAAGGCYTTTGCTATCACCAGAAAGAAAGCATCAGCTTTCTCTCTGAACTTGCTTTACGTTGTAATTCTCTTACTTCCAATATATTTTACATTGTATTTTCTTTCCTTCTTGCTACTCTATGAAAAAAGAATCCAAACAAGTGAAAAGAAACCCTCTTTCTGCACATGCAAAAAATCAAACTTTAGACACCTTCAGAAAAAAAAAAAAACAACCTTCAAGAAAACAAAAACCACCAGAGAAACCACTTCCCCACACTCCAGAAGCCTCTGTGGCTGGGTCTCCTGCATTAAGCTGTTTCTAGAGCTTTAAGGACGGCAGAAGTGATCTTGCATAACTGCTGCTGTCCTGGGACATGGATTAGAGTAAGGCATGTGAAGATCTCAGCTCCTTTTCCGTCTTAAATGCAAACAGACTTCCCAAAACAACAAAGACTCCAAAATGGAAGGCTGTTTCAGGGAAAATGGGGAACCTTGCTGGGAGCGGATGGACTGGGCTGCCTTTTGAAGCATTCTGGATCCCCYCCGTGTCTCCAGCACATTAGTCATGCATCTTCCTCCTGACCCTCTATGAAGGTTGATCCACGCTCATGATACGAGATGGACTCATCTGGGTTTGCTCAGGGTAGACTGCCAAGCCTCTGCATCTGGCTCATGCTAAACAGAAACACATTTCCTTCAGTTTTATGCCCGGGTGAGCCATTTCTGTAGTGTTTAAATAGTGTTTGCTAGTGAGGGAGCTGGGCACGAAGGCTGCTCTTTGACACTAACCACACGAGCCTTTAGTTGGCCCTGTATTGCTTACTGGGGAGGCACCATCACTTGGGAAAGCGTCCGGCCACCTTCTCTCTGTCACCGCAAGAAGAAGGGGGAGAGGTGGGAGGTGACATGGGGGGCAGTAGCAGCGATGCCACAAGGATCCCCTCCGAGCGACTCAGACTCATCCAAGGACGGCAGCCTGAGAGCAGGCAGGCCAGTTACAGGGGAGGACAGATTACTCAATGCATAATTCAGCACCGTAAATGCCTGCATGGCACAAACTCCGGCCGCCGCTTAGACTACTTTAACTTCTTGACAGTAAGAGTGCTAAATTGACCCGAGGGGAAAAAAAGGACACTTAACTTTTATAATTGATTTCTGCCCTATATCATTTTGGCTCCTCGCCTTCTCGTGTAATGCTAATATGAGTTATTGCAGATTTAATAGTTTGTTACACATTAATTCGATGGTATTTTTGACTAAGCTAGTGTCCAGAATGACTTTGCACTTGGTGACATCTGTGATGCCAGCATGCAAAATGACTCCCCTGGCATTTTTACAGATTCTCTCGCACCCCACGGTATGTCTTGAGAAATCAAGCTAGGACCATATCTGATTTGGCTAAGAATACCAAGTGATATAACACAAGTAGCAATAATCGTTTTTTTGCTGGAGTAAAAGCTTCCGGCTATTCTCGTTCCCTCTCAAGCAGGCTTGCTGCCTAGGCGCACTTTCAGTGGTTTTCTTTTTTTGGAATATACTTGTTACAGTCGAACTTCTTTTAGGCTTGACTAATTTGACTGAACAGTCATGTCAGAACAGTCACATTGGCATCCYGGGCTTTGTCTAGTACAGGGTAACTGGGGTTGTAGATCCTCGTTCCTCCTTGTTGACACTCCTGCTGAGGTATCTCTGAGAGCCCGTCCACTTTGCTTAACGTTTATAACATTTATAACATTATCTTAATGTTTATTTGGCTGCCTTTAAAATGCTTTTCAGTGTTTAAAGAGTTTTCTTTTCAAAGCTTTGCTTTGGACGATATTCTGACAATAGCAAGCTCCCATCATAAAAAAATTGTGGCTCTTTTTTGAGAACCCAAGTCCCTTGTCAGTCCTTAGATCCCCAAGTACTTCCATTCCAAGGAAGCAATTAAGATAAATGTATTTATTAGATTCAGTTAAGACTCCCATTTCAGATTGCATTTACAATGTTGTCAAAGGTACCCACTTAATTGTTAAGAGTATGATGCTCCTTTTCTTCTGATTACTCATCTGCATTTTGTGATTCACCTCGACAGCAACATTTTCATTGACATCATCCCTATGCCAGTAAAAACATGTTAATTTTCTCACTAAATTGGTATTCATTGGCTTCTGTTTTAGAGCCTATCTTCTTTTTTGAATTTGTATTTTCTAGCAACTGGCATTTTTTTTGACTAGCTCTTCTCTTGGTGTATCACTGAAACCGTTACTTGACAGCAGTTGACCCTGTCTCAGACACCCTGCTGATCCGAGAGGTTATATGAAGCGTCGAATAAATGATAGTCAAAGTAATTACATTTGTGAAATCCAGAACAGAAATKTATAAGGTATATATACTTAATTTAAAAATTCTATTTCATTTTACATCTAGATTCTAGAAACTTATAAAGGAGGCATACCTATATTTCTAAAATTCTATGAATTTTTAATATCAAAACCTAGGAAACTGTGGTAGTTGGGTAATTTGTAAGGAAAGATGAAATCAGGAGATGCAAGAACTCTGTCAATGAAGACTGCAAAGATACTTGCCCATTGTGTCCACTAACTTGGGACCAAGGAGAAGGGGTACCTGGGGCTAGGCAGAAATTAGCTGCGCACGTACTAGGTTCAAGTTACGTTTACCGTGTGCTTGAGGCATTGGGAGTACTGAAACCGAAGCATAAATCTGTGTTCAGCACTGACACGGGGTTAGCAAAAGATGTAATGGCAAAAGTGCATGAAGCTGAAATAACATTCCCAGATTCCTAAAAACCCACCTAGGGCCCGAGCTTCCAGGAGAACGGAAAGGCAACTGGGAGAGTTGTAGAACTGGCGAGCATTCACCCGCAGTGTCCACTTAGGGGGCTACACGGATTAGATCCTTGCCTAGAAATGAGGGAGCCCCTTTCTACTGCTTTCCTCACACGTTGACTACTTGCAAAGAACCAAGACGGACTCCAAAGTGGAGAGGAAAGCAGGGAATGAACACGATTTGGTGGCGGGAGTGCTCAAAACTGGCGCTAGCCTGCCTGAATCTTGGRGCAACTAATGCTGCCATGTGGCTCCAGAGGCCGACGGGATGCGCAGCCGCCATCCCAATGCTGCCCCAGGGCTTGCCCTCGAGCTGGAGCCGGCACCCAGCCTCCATTTCCTGGAGTGAGGCAGGGGCCTCCGTGGGCATCTGCCGTGGCCTCCCGCGCCGGGCTGAGGCCTCCTGGGACGGAGGGAGGGACCCCACGCCTCAGACACAGGCGGCAGCCGCGCTCCCGCCGCGGGCCCTAACGGCCCTAACGGCCGTTCCCGCCGACGCCACCAGCCGCTACAGGCGCCCCCCCCCCCC